TGCCATGGACCACTGCCCTCTCCTCCAGGACGTCTGCTTCCAGAGTTCACCTGGCCCTGGTTTAGGTTTGGCTAAGCAAAGAGGCGTTTCCTTATAGCTTTTCCAGGCACTTGGCTGGAGCCAGGGAAGAGACGGAACAAGGAAAAGAAAAAGAACACAGATGTCCTATAGAGCTGCGTGGAGAAGAACCTAGGTTGGTTTTTGGAGCCTGGGCAGAAATACCCAGGATTTTACCATTGTTACCATTTGTAAGTGTACAGTTCAGCGGCATTAAGTACATTCACACTGTTGGGCAACCATCACCACCATCCATCTCTGGTACTCTATTGTTTTGATCTTGCAAAACTGAAACTCTGTACCCTTTAAATAACAACTTTCCACTCCTCCCCTCCCCCCAGTTCCTGGCAACCACCATTCTACTTTCTATGAATTTGACAGCTGTAGTTTCCTCCATTAAGTAGAATGATACAGTATTTGTCCTTTTGTGACTGGTTTATTTCACTTAACATAATGTCTTCAAAGCTCATTTGTGCTGTAGCATGTGTCAGATATTCCTTTAAAACTGAATAATACTCGATTATATGTATAGACCACATTTTGTTTATCCATGCATCCATTGATGGACACTCACCTTTCGACTATTGTGAATAATGCTCTGTGAACATGGGTGTACAAATACCTTTTTTGAGTCCCTGCTTTCAGTTCTTTTGGGTATATACCCAGAAGTCAAATTACTGAATCATATGGTCACTGCATAAAGGTTCCAATTTCTCCACATCCTTACCAACACCTGTTATCCAATCTCTCTCTGTCTCTGTCTCTGTCTCTGTCTCTCTCTCTCTCTCTGTTTAAAAATAGCCACCTTAATAGGTACAATGGGGTATCCCATTATGGTTTTGATTTGCATTCCCTAATGATTAGTGATGTTGAGCATCTTTTCATGAGCTTATTGGCCATTTGTATATCTTCTTTGGAGAAATACCTATTCAAGTCCTTTGCTCATTTTTAATCAAATTGTTCTTTTTGTTGTTGAGTTGTAGGAATTCTGTATATAACTTGTATACTAACCCCTTCCAATGCATCCTTAATTATCTCCTAAGCCTGACACTCTGAGGGGTACCAAACCCATAAAGAAGTAACTCTCAACCCTCACGGAATATCAAGATTACAAAGGAACTTAAAATATACTGATACCCAGGCTTGGCAGCTCTGAATTAATTGGTCTGGGTGAGGTGTGAGGCATCAGTGTTTTCAAAAGTCTCCTCCAGGTGGCTCTAAGATGCATCCACAGTTGAAGGCCACCACTGCAAAGTCCTTGTCCCTTGGAAGGCACTGCCCTTCATCACTTAGTGCTGAGAAAGTGAGAGGGGATTAGAAAGACTAGGGGGACTAGGTCCCAGAGGGTCCAATCCCAGGGAGAAGCCCTGTGATGTCAGGGTGGCAGTAAAGTAATAGGCAGGCACCCCCACTTTGTCACACAGCCTCATTATCATATATCAGGAGGAAACAGCCAACCACCGTGTCCTGAGAAGGCACAGGAGGGAAAGACTTGAGGCTGTCCCAACAGGCAGAGTGTGTGGTGCAGAGCCCTGGGAGAGAGGTGGGGGCCTTGGTTCTACTCCCGCTCTGCCAGCAGCTCTCCTCGTGGCTTCAGGGAAGTCTCCTTGCTTTCCTGTGCCTGAAAGTGCCCCTGCAAAAGAGGAAGTGGGCTGGTGCTGTGGGTTGGTTCTCAGCCCTGACGGTAGCTTAGGTTCACCTAAGGAGCATTTGAAAAACACTGACCCTCAGGCTCCAGCTGGGAGATTCTGATTCCAGCTGCTCTAGGTGGGGCCTGGGCGCTGTCATTTGGCAAAGCTTCCAGGTGATTCTACACAGCCAGGGTTGAGAACGCAGGTCTAGTAGTTACCCACGTTCTCTCCTTGGTGCTCACGTTCCACGGTTCTGCCTCCGTTTGTGGGGCTGACAGTCATGGCCTGAGCCCTTCGCACATCACACAGGTACTGCCCTGTTTCTCACAGCCCATAGGGGCACTGCGTGCTCTCTGCAAAGATTAGGAGGACTAGCTCCCCTCCATGATTGAAAAAGCAATAGGCTCTGACCTCCAGTGACACTGGATGAGGCCACACTGTCCTATTCCACAACCCCACAGAACATTTCATTCTCAATCCAGTCGTGCATAACTTATAATGAAGTGTCTGCTGGAGACAAACCATTGCTGAGGGAAGCGAAGGCCGGGAGGCCAGCAGGCAGCTGCCTGGAATGGGAGAAGGAACAGTTTACTGAGTTTCCTCTGAGAGACCAACACTCAGGGCAGGCCCTGGGGAGAGAGGGAGGGGGTTCTCTAGGTTGGGACAGGAGCATGAGCACACGTACTTCAGATAAGGCCCTGTGAGGGCCATCAGAGATGCTCCGCGGAGATTAGTGACTTAAGTCCTGGCTGCTGGGAGTCAGGCACCTGCGTATTCTGAGCCCACACAGGTGAGGGGGCAGTGAGAGCTCCCAGGTTGCCATTTGAAGGCCCAGCCTAACTGGCCTATGCTTGCAGAGAGAGGAACCAACTTGCAAACAAAAAGGGCCAAGGAAATGGGTGACAGGCACTGCCAGGGGCGTGGATGGGCAGTGCTGCCTTTAAGAAGCCATGCTGGCTGGCAGTTAGCTGGGAAGTTCTGTGACAGCGTCCTTTCTTGCTTTCCCTCAAGCCTCTATTTTCTATCCCTCCTCCTTAGCTCTCATTTTCAGTGAACTCTCCACTAACCAATCCCCCCCGAGTTCTTACCCCTAATGTCTCCACCTCCCGCCTCTGGATCACAGATCCACTCCGACAGCTCTCTGCTTCTCCCCCTTGGGTTTGCTCCTGCCAAGCTGCACATAGAGGGGCCCCGGCTGAGCCGGGGCAGGGAGGAAATGCACATTTTACCCAGCCAAGTGGGCCAGACCTAGGTCAGTAAGTGTCAAGTCTTCTCTGGAAGCTAAATCCTTCCTGATGGACCAGCCTGTACTTGGACATCTATGACAAATTAGCCTTTTCCAGCAGATGAACTGCTGTCCTTGGTTTTGTCTCTGGGGATGGGGTCTCTAGACTGGACTTGTGGGATTGTATAGTTATTTTGCTGAATAATCTATGACAAATGATATAAGGACTAAAACTTAACATGACAACTAAATGTATTGAGTGCCGGGCACTGTTCTAAGTGTTTTGAATATATTATCTCATTTCACTCTCACAATTCTAACTAATTTGTGCCCCAGTGTTCCTCTTGTTTAGGCTTCAAACAGAACCATAAATCCTGTCTCCCTGATTTTTGCTTCCCTGGCTTCGTAAGTTTCTCTACTGGCTCCTTCCGAGGGCTGAGGGGCTGCACTGGCAATTCCAATTTCCACACAGCTTCCTGACACAATCCCTCCTTAGTCCTCA